AAAAAACGGTAACCTGGTTGCCGAGTTCACGAAGTGAATTGGCTTGTTTTACAACGTCGTTGCCAAGCGACGAAAACCCAATCCCGATGGCAAACACCGGGGGGGGCGGCTTGTTTTACAACGTCGTTGCCAAGCGACGAAAACCCAACCCCGGTGGCAAACACCAGGGGGGATCTTGCACGGGAGAGGAAAAAACCGGTTGGGTCGGACCGCCCTCTCCTGACGGAGCAAGAATCACTGGCAACGACGTGAGACCGATGACATCGGTCGGATGTTGTTCTGCCGGCCGCCCCAGGAAAAGAGGCGACGCGGTGGTTACGGTCGGAGATTGCTCGGGAGTGAGCGATTGTGTGATTGGCTGACTGGGGCCCTTAATTGGTGGCTCCAACGTTGGGCAACCAATGACCGCGGCCGGTGCTGACGCTGGCAGAGGGGAGGGTTTCCCCGGGACTACCGCGGGAGCAGGGAAGGTGGTAGCAGCGGGGGCTGCAGGGTTGAGGGGGGCGCCGACTACCGGGGCTAGGGACGGCGCCACGGCGACAGGGGCCGGGGGTGATGAAGCTGCCATGCCGATTGGATCCATAGTTGGATTAGAGGGTCCACCTGCTGTGGGTGAAGACACTGCCCTTGCGGGTAGCCGCGTCGCGTGGTGGGGTGGCAAATGCGGCAAAACAACCGCCAAAAATGATGATGCCATGTGAGCTTGTTTATGATTCACTAGCTGGTGTCTCAGCCTGCAGATGGCTAACGGCTTTGCTGGCGCGAAGGATGGACATACAAAAATTCGCAAGGTAGAAGGTACTACTTGCTACTGTTGAGACAAAGCGAACTTGCGCGCCGAAGAAACAGTCAATAATGATGGCATTGAGGTCCCCGCGTAAGGCTTACGGCGCACAGACTAAGAAAGAACACGAATAGAGGTATGAACCACATAATTCCCAAACACCGCAAGAGTTCTGCTCGAGAAACATGCGAAACACCTCCACTCGAGTTGAACTCCTTGCAACTGCAGACACCCAACCCCTTCCTCGTTCAATCAACACAGTCTACTCTCGAATCAAACAAAAACAAGGTTGAGCTTGCGTGGAGTAGCGCTTGGTTGATTCTCCTCCACGGGTGGTTGTCCCATCGCCGGCGCAAGAGTCAGGACCTGCAACACCCAGAAGCGAAAACATCATGAGTCAAGGGAGGCCGTGGGTGAGCTTTATCCCTAGAAACGCGAACAACCGGACCCCCCATCCTTGTTTTCGTCACAAATCGGCTCGTTTAGTCGTTCCGGCGCGCACTTTCAGAAGCACACGACAACTCTATCGTCGTCGGCGAAATTCTCTTGTCCCAAATCAACGCGAGGAAAGGCCGACGTACCTCAGCGGTTGCTGGCGCCGTCGCTGGGCTTAGCGTCATTTCCCGCAAGGCCAGCAGCAGAAAACGGCGGCAGATTGCGCGGATGATATAGGGGAACGAAACCGCGAAATGAGAATGAAGAGCCTTCGGATACTATTGCTGCACTTCGTACACAGCGGATCCTCTCAAGGACAGTACATGCTCAAGTCTGCTGGCGCAATCCCTTCGCAATCATGGCACGGGGGGTAAGAGGAGAGAAACAAGGACCGGCTGTGCATCTTTTGTAAAACGTGAGCGAAACGTGCAACGAACGTTCGGATATTGACTGGATTTCGGTATGTACGCGAGGAGGGACCTTTCAAGGGGGTAGGAGTGGCATACTAAGTGAACACCAGGACAGAAAGGCGGGGGTCCGTGAAGGAACGCTCTCCTGCCGCACGCGCCGGGGCGCCCGAAAAGACCAATCTTGCCACTTTCACGGCCTTGCACGATGAAACTACCCAATTCCCGTCAAGGTATCGACAATTGCATCCACCTCGGGTGCTCCTGTCCCAGCCGGGGATATAGTTGTCGCTGGCGGGGTTGGCGGGAATGGGGGAGTTGGACTAAGCGTGAGCTCCACAGCGCTTTCTGCGTTGGGCCCAGGGGTTGGGGCGCACGTCGGTGCTTCAGACGTCGGTGCTGGAGTAGGGGTGGGCCCGACGTTCCGATAACCGTCGGGTTGAGCGCTACCCTCTCCTCCAGCCGTGGGCGCAGCGGTGGCCTCCATTGCAGTCGGTTCGAGGGTAACGCCAACATTTGGCGGGGTAGAAACTATCTCCGGCAACGGCGTCGGTGTCGGTGTAGTCTTCAAAGGTTCGGGGCACGCAAGAGGGACCGCCGTCGTCGGGTGACTACTCGGGGCTACCGCACGCGTGGTGGGTTTTGTCGTTGGCAGGAACGGGCCAGGGGGAACGGCCGGGGCGCGGGTGGGGGACGAGCTCGACTCTGCGCTTGTGGGTTCGAGCGACAGCGGCTGATTTGTGGGTGGTGGCGAAGGTGACGGTTCGGGAAAGGACTCATCGGTGGGCCCGATAGCTGGGCTCTGCTTCAGGAGTCACGCCAAACGGAAAGAAAGGGTCGAGCGTCTTGAGAGGACCTGCTTGCTCATGCCCGCGTGGTAATGGATACTGTGAGAAAAAGCGAAAGTTGTTGGCCATCATTTGTCTGAAACTAAGAACAGATCAAAAGAAAGCTCAGTACTAACAGTTTCGCGGCCTACCACACACAAACGGTACGAGTAGGCTACCGCACGTCATCGGACGGCCTCGGCACCCGACGAAGCGTGTGGATGTAGACAGATCTAAATCGCATGCAAGCCAAAGTGCGCTTCGCTAGAGACGAAACGAAAGCAGAATATCCGTACAAGTATGACCCGACAACAACAACATTGCGAGGCCGGATGACGTACTATTGTCGACAACGCCGGTAAAGGCGCCGAACGTTGGCACAAGCAGGGCCTACCCAAACAGACGTGGAGGTCGGGTGGGCCTCCAGGAAAAAAATGGCAAGGAAGGCAAGCAGACACGAGACCGGCGTGTAGGGAACGAAGGCAGAAACATCACCAGAAAGACGTTTACATTGAAGGTCGACGAGATTCAGAGGCCGAAATTATTTTTGTCAAACCAAACAAAGCACGAACTTGCGTGGATGGACGTGCAGCAGTGCGGGCAGTATGGGAGCTGCGGCACCCGGGTCCCAGAGCCGGCGCACGGAACAAACTAACCTGCACCACGCCAACAACACGAAGAATGCGCACGGCGACAAATCATACACAAAAGATTTGCATGATAAAATCTGGTATCTTGCTCTCACCGTTGTCGCTATCGGTGGTGATGGAGCAAAACCACCGACCGAGGGCTCAGGAGTCACGACAGAAGAAGGGCCCTCCACAAGTGGTGATTTGCCCGGCACCTCAGGCTGTGAATCCGTCGACGAAGACAGCGTTTTGCCCACTCCTGTGGCCGGATCACCAAGCACAAAGGGGGACGTTACGATATAACCCCTAGTACACTAAAACGGCTTCCCTTCAGGCTCGTCGTAGTGCAAAATAAACACGTTGTGATTGGCCTGGTGCTTCACAGAGTTGTGCCGTACCTCCACGCGTTGTTTCCAAACACACTCGGACTGGTGCGGGTGGCGAGGGAACGCCCGCCAATTTCGAAAAAGCTGACGACATTCTAGGTGATACTTTGTCAGGTTAGCTGCTTGCATTTCAGGCTGAACCCTGTCGGTCTCAAGCGTTCTTCTTATACGTACGAGTTCTCGTGTGTCTTCAACCACACGAGCCGTCGCAAAGCAGCAGAATCAGTAGGCGAACGGTGGACCCATGAACGGGCAGATCAGGATTTCGGAGTCAAGACAAAACGACGACGACACCAAGACAGCAGCAAGGGAGCACGCTCAGGCCCAAAAGTTGTTCGGCGGGCCTCCACCGTCAGTGCCCGGACGGCGGAAAACAGGAAAAAGGCGCAGGTGCGGTACGCGAGCACGTCGCGTCTGTCTATATTCCAACGTTATGCTACATGTTTGGGACAAGGGATAGCCAAGGGATAGAGCTGCACACAGCAAGCTCGACGGAGAAAAACGGCTAGCAGCACCCTCAAGACACTTTTTCACATCCGGCGGGCCACCGGTGCAAAGCCCACGTCACCTGGTTCAGAAGAGTAACTTGAAAATGGTGCAGGAGGCGGCGTGGCGACAGACGGGGATTCAGACCGCGGTGCGATCTCTGCCGCTGGGGGCGCTTCCGGCGACTTTGTTGCAGAGGATGAAGAAGACTCACAAGCCGACCCTGGGGCTAGTCCCCCTGTACCCTCCGGCGTAGGAGCCGGCGCTTCTTCCTCTACGGATGTTGCAGAGGATGAAGACGACTCACTAGCGATCCCTGGACCTGGTCTCCTCGTGCCCTCTGGCGTAGGCGCCGGCGCTTCTTCCTCTGATGCTGTTGAAGAGGATGTTGCAGAGGATGAAGAAGACTCACTCGACGTCCCTGGACCTGTTGCCCGCGTGCCCTCTGGCGTAGGCGCCGGCGCTTCTTCCTCTGATGGTGTTGCAGAGGATGTTGCAGAAGATGAAGAAGACTCACCAGCCGTCCCTGGACCTGGTCCACCGGTGCCCCCTGGCGTAGGCGCCGGCGCTTCTTCCTCCGACGCTGATGCAAAGGATGTTGCAGAGGATGAAGAATACTCACTAGCTGTCCCTGAACCTGGTCCCCCTGCGCCCGCTGGCGTAGGCGCCGGTGTTTCTTCCTGTGACGCTCTTCCAGAGGATGAAGAATACTCACTAGCCGACCCTGGACCTGCCTCCCTTGTACCCTCTGGCGTAGGCGCCGGCGCTTCTTCCTCCGACGCTCTTGCAGAGGATGAAGACTCACTAGCCGACCCTGGACTCGGTCCCTCCGTGCCCTCTGGCGTAGGCATAGGTGTTTCTTCCTCTGATGCTGACGCTGACGCTGTCACAGAGGATGAAGAATACTCACTAGCAATCCCTGGACCTGGTACCCCCCTACCCGCTAGCGTAGGGGCCGGTGTTTTTTCCTCTGACGCTGATGCAAAGGATGAAGAAGACTCACTGGCCGTCCCTAGACCTGGTCCCCCCGTGCCCTCTGGTGTAGACGCGGGCGCTTCTTCCTCCGATGCTGATGCAGAGGATGAAGAAGACTCACTAGCCGTCCCTGGAGCTGGTCCCTCCGTGCCCTCTGGAGTAGGCGCGGGTGTTTCTTCCGCTGACGCTGTCGCAGAGGATGACTCACTGGCCATCGCTGGATCTGGTGCCCCCGTACCCGCTGGCGTAGGCGCAGGCGCTTCTTCCTCTGATCATGTTGCAGAGGATGAAGAAGACTCACTATTCGTCCATGGACCTGGTCCCTGCGTGCCCTCTGGAGTAGGTGCCGGTGTTTCTTCCTCCGACGCTTTTGCAGAGGATGAAGACTCACTAGCCGTCCATGGACCTGGTCCCTCCGTGCCCTCTGGAGTAGGCGCCGGTGTTTCTTCCTCCAACGCTTTTGCAGAGGATGAAGAAGACTCACTATCCGTCCATGGACCTGGTCCCTCCGTGCCCTCTGGAGTAGGCGCCGGTGTTTCTTCCTCCAACGCTTTTGCAGAGGATGAAGAAGACTCACTATCCGTCCATGGACCTGGTCCCTCCGTGCCCTCTGGAGTAGGCGCCGGTGTTTCTTCCTCCAACGCTTTTGCAGAGGATGAAGAAGACTCACTATCCGTCCATGGACCTGGTCCCTCCGTGCCCTCTGGAGTAGGCGCCGGTGTTTCTTCCTCCAACGCTTTTGCAGAGGATGAAGAAGACTCACTATCCGTCCATGGACCTGGTCCCTCCGTGCCCTCTGGAGTAGGCGCCGGTGTTTCTTCCTCCAACGCTTTTGCAGAGGATGAAGAAGACTCACTATCCGTCCATGGACCTGGTCCCTCCGTGCCCTCTGGAATAGGCGCAGGCGCTTCTTCCTCTGATGATGTTGCAGAGGATGAAGAAGACTCACTATCCGTCCATGGACCTGGTCCCTCCGTGCCCTCTGGAATAGGCGCAGGCGCTTCTTCCTCTGATGATGTTGCAGAGGATGAAGAAGACTCACTATCCGTCCATGGACCTGGTCCCTCCGTGCCCTCTGGAGTAGGCGCAGGCGCTTCTTCCTCTGATGATGTTGCAGAGGATGAAGAAGCCTCGCTATCCGTCCATGGACCTGATCCCTCCGTGCCCTCCAGAGTAGGCGCCGGTGTTTCTCCTCCGACGCTTTTGCAGAGGATGAAGAAGGCCCACTGTCCGTCCATGGACCTGGTCCCTCCGTGCCCTCTGGCGTAGGCGCCGGTGTTTCTTACTCCGACGCTTTTGCCGAGGATGAAGAAGAGTCGCTATCCCTCCATGGACCTGGTCCCTCCGTGCCCTCTGGAGTAGGCGCAGGTGTTGGTTCCTCTGATGTTGATGTAGAGGACGAAGAAGACTCTCTATCCGTCCCTGGACCTGGTCCCCCCGTGCCCTCTGGAGTAGGCGCCGGTGTTTCTTCCTCTGACGCTTTTGCAGAGGATGATGCAGAGGATGAAGAAGCCTCGCTATCCGACCCTGGACCTGGTCCCCCCATGCCCTCTGGCGTAGACGCCGGTGTTTCTTCCTCTGACGTTGCAGAGGATGCTGTAGAGGATGAAGCCTCACTAGTCATCCTTAGACCTGGTCCATCCGTACCCTCTGGCGTAGGCGCTGGTGTTTCTTCCTCTGACGCTGACGTTGATGCAGAGGATGAAAATACCCACGAGCCGTCCCTGGACCTGGTACATCCGTGCCCTCTGACGTAGGCGCAGGTGTATCTTCCTCTGGTGCTGTTGCAGAGGATGCTGTCGAGGATAATGAAGAGTCACTAGCCGTCCCTGGACCTTGTCCATCCGTACCCTCTGGCGTAAGTTCCAGTGCTTCTTCCTCTGATGCTGATGCTGACGCAGAGGATAAAGAAGAGTCACTAGCCATCCCTGGAGCTGGCCTATCCGAGCCCTCCGGGGTCGGCGTCGGTGCTTCTTCCTCGGCCACTGGGGACGCTTCCGGTGCAGGCGTAGTCGCGTCCTGCAAGGTACAACGATCAAGGCTTGGGGTCAGGAGATCGGTCCAGGAATACGCTCAAACCGAGCACACACTGTACTTAGCCAAAATGGAGCAGATGGTTAGCTACCAACGACCGGTGACAACATTATTGAGCTCTGAGCACAACCAATCAGCGAGAACAGTACTAGCGAAAAACCCACACAAAGACAATGGTGGCGTTGACTTCCATGACCAAAGCGCCAAATTCCAAGCCCCGACTCGCTGAAAGTCTTCTCACCATTGGCGATGGTGGTGCCCGTGTTGACGAATCTTGAGCAGCATGCAGCCGAACGCAAAGGAGAGAAGGATTAGGTTGGTAGGTTGGCATGGAGTTGAGCGGCACATTTATCAAGAGCTCATCGGCGCGTTACGAGATACCATCGAACATCGCATGCCGCCAGCGGCGGTCGGTCCGATATCCCAACAAAGAGGCTTCGAGACGACATTCGATGAGGCGAGAGCATCGGGTAGGCACTCGATACAAAGACAACGATTGCAGCAGACCGGACCGCCGGGAATCGAGCTTACTAGATACCGTTTAGGTCGGCTTGGCTTCGCGACCAGTGCTCTTCTTACTCTCACCGAAGGAACTGCTCGAATCCAAAGCCGGACCCCCACCGCTCGAGACCAGGTCCAATCTGGTCACGAACAATACAGTCCTTGCACGATCTCGTACAGCCTGGACAGCCAGAACAAGACTTCGACAAAGAGCAACCCATACACCAAGACAAAATCAGTTGAAAGGGAGAGACTATGCACGAGAAGACAACAGCACTATTTGCATGTTACGCCAACCTGCCTGGCGTCTTGGACGTGTGGGCTCAAACGCAACGTGCTGAAAGGAAGGAGGCGGGGGCATCATCGGTTCAAGCTTCTCAACGGTACGCACGGTTCACAAGAGAGGGGGGCTGGCCAATCCTTCACGGCATACTACACTGTATCGAGCCCGGGCACCCCACAAACATTACAATTGTAACACAGCGTTCGCATGCGACGTCACACGTGGAAGTAGATCCAGGCGAGAGGGCATGACAGACATGACAGAACGACAGGCTGCTTACACTTAAGGAAGAGGATCAAATCGATTCACCATGGTTACAGAGAGGCTACACGCGCTTCCCCTGCTGCATCGTAAAACCTCAGGTCAACACGGGCGATCGTCTCTTTGATTGAGCTACTCGCCAGTCCGGTTAAAAACAGAAAAACGTCTATATACGCTTGTCAGCATACCCTGCTCCCAGTCTCCGGCTCGCCCATGGCACTCGTAGACGCCGGGCTAAGCCCAAAGTGTCCTGTGCCAGCGGCCTCCCGCCCCTGGTCATCCTCTCCCAATCTCCACGCAGCGCCTCCTGCGGAACGGTCAAAAGTAGCAACCTCGTGCTCAGTAGATGCTACTTTATAACAGTAGCGGCTACGGTTTAAGAGAAAATGATTAAGAGAAAGTACCGATTTACGAGAGAGAGTCAAACTGGCTTATCACGACCAAAATCGATATAAGCGAGAATTTGTCATATCTCTGAGATTTCTCTCATCGAACCTGTGAAAAAGAGCCACGTAGCCGTCACATACACATCTTATAGACACCATGCCCAGCAGGCAGCCACTGCACAGCGGTCCCCGATCACACGCCAGGCCCATCAAACTTAAAAAATCACCCATGATTGATTTACAACACACAAGTAACATCAGGAGAATACCCGTCACTTGCGGTGAGTACATTGCAAAAAGTACCTCAGGCAGGAACCGCAGGAGGGGGTCCAGCCCCCCCCTCCTGTGTGACACCGGGGGGGTCGTCTAGCTAGTAGAAGTGGAGGATAGGGGCCAGAGGGGCAGACGACAGAGTCCAATGATGGGAGAAAAAAAAAAAATGCTCACCAAGACAGATGAGCATGTGTGTAGCTAGCACAAGCTGACGACGTGATGTAAATGAGTGATATTTCGTCCATAACCTCTTTTAGTTGGTTGGAATGAGAGGATCCACCTTTCATGACCTTTGAAATGCTACGGTTTAAGATAAAACTCTCTTGCAACATGCTCACGGTCCAAGATAATATTCTCTTGAACTGTAGCCAACACGGTATTAGAGAAAGTGCGAATAAATAGAAAAAGGGGATTGTCACGACCCTAACGTAAACCGTAGCCGCTACTGTAATCCACTTCACATCGCTCCGACCTCAATCGTATGTTCATCATCTCCCCAGCACCTGAAGGACAAAAACAAGCTTGCCCAAACTGCCGTCATATGGCTCGACAAAACTTAACGTTCCCGGAAACAAGTCTAGACAACGAGCACGGTGGGGGGCAGCCGTCTATCGCATTGCGTCGCTCAGAACCTGTGTCAGGATAACAAAAAGGTAAGGGGCATCATGATGCTGGCACCCCTACGTAGCGAGGCGGGGTTGTTCGCTACCATAGGCGACAACTTGGGATTTGAATGAAACCTTACCACACGGGGTAGCAATGCGTAGGGCGTATGGTATCTGCTGTCACGCGTGTGACAAAGTGCAAGACAGACCCGACGAACGGGTGGGGGGATGATAACAAGGGTGTGCGACGATGTTAACCGGTTAGATGAAGTTCTTTCACACAACACGACCTATAGCGTGGTATCCAGGATAGAAACATGCCGCTTCATCGCGTATTTTACAACACGCGTTTGCACTTCAGTGTCCTTCGTGGTACCTCTATAGATCTATGTGATTTCTTCTATAGAGAAATGCTTACACCAGCCGTGCGTAAGTTGGCATGCATGGATGCCGAAGGAGTCACAGCAGGGGCGGCACTTTCCCCCGCCAGGGCGGGATTTGCTATCCTTTACAGAAGAACGTAACACAATAGCGTGGAACCATCGCCCGCAGGCCGATCCACTGCAGTCCGAGCCACGGTGGACAGGGCAGCGGTGTGTACTGCATCCACTCCGCGGTATGCTGTCGGTCTCCATAGCTGTGGCGCGTAGGATGCTCGCTTTCGTGTGTGCACGGCGTACGCACGTTTTTTTCGCTACGGAGTACGAAGAACCCGGGATGTAGTTGTTATTCTGGACGAAAACGGTCCTAGCACGGGCCCCTCCTGGACCGCGTTTTCCATACAAACGAAAACACTTGCGTCTTCCGAGAGCCCCCCACAAAGGGCAAAATCACCTAGCCACCACATGCATGGCCCTTGAGTACGACGCTGTGTGTACTCGCCAAGTACTGGCTGATTCGGGCCAACAACTGTTGATAAAGCGGTAGCTTCTGGGGAAAAGTAGTTGAATTAAAGAGACCCTTGTCAGGAGAGACTGGTCAGAAAGTGGAGTGAGCACGATGTGCAAGCCGTGTCCTCGATACCCTGCGAACTACTCCTGGAAACCAACGAACCAACGGACACGTTCCGGAACCGTTCCGGAGCACCAGCAACGTTCTACAGTATCTCAGTACCAGTCCTCGGACCATTGCGACTTCCTACACTCCACAAACTCTCGGGATGATTACCTGAACTAAGATACCATGCTCAGACTAGCGCAGCGTCCACAAGATTATTCCAACCACAAGGACCACGAACGTTCCTTATGTCGGTAGCTCAACAATCTACAGAGGATCGACATTGTTCCGTGTATTCAAATCGTCCAATCAGATATTCTACGCAACTCAGTCGATACATACTGCCTCTACCACGAACAACAACGAGGGTGTAGCAAGGACCCCAACTCCGATACTGGTTGGCGTTGAGGAACTACTTTGTATTTGGAGTGCATCTGGGCCAAGTACAGGCGGCTTCTGCTGATCCACCATGACCGTTATTGTGAAGGTCAGACTTGGCCACGACCTTCCGGCCTCGGTGTTGATCTATCACATAGTTGACCACGGGAATTGGGTAACTTTTGAGGACCGAAAAGAAAAACACTAGACGGTCAGTTGCGACGCAAAGCATTTTTTCGGTTCGACACAATGTCAAGGCATGTAAATTGCTTGCGAACGCAGAACATGGCTGCCTGAGGCTGATTTTTTCGTGACAAGTTGAGGTCTGTGCAATGACAAGTTGAGGGTATGTGCGATGGTTATCGGTGGTTCATGGCTCAAGATGCCCTTGAGCAAAACAATACTGAACCGGAGGTTCGTGGTGGTTCAAAGCAACAACAGCCATACATAGTGTTCTTATCGCACACCAGGTACAGGTACCAGGTATCTTTTCACATTTTGTACCAGGTATCACACTGCTGCGTGATTTGCAAGGGCTCGGTGTGGTGAATTGGTCCTTTCGGTCAGGATGAAAAAATGGCACGCGGACGGGTTCGTACGCATATGGCGTACTCGAAGGGGTGTGGAATCTCAAGTCACCTATGGTAGCACGCCGTGTTTTCGCCCAACAGGTTAACTACACCCTTACGATCTGCAGGCAGGTGTGAGGAGGGGAGCTACATCACATTCAGATACGGCCAAAAAAGGGTATGTACTACTGCTGTACCCTCTAATTTTCTGGACCACAACAGCATGGTATCGACCGAAACAAGATCGGGCGAGTGAGTCCGACCACGGCACGCTGATTGACTTACCACTGCTGTCTTGACGTGAAATCGATTAAGCGTTTGTCCCGGAACGCCAGCAGGTCAAACGTATGCATAGTAGCTTCGCTGAGCAGGTCTGTAACCGGACTGAAGGGAGTAGCGTTTCCGGTGTGCGTCAACCAAGCTGTCGCCAAGAGGGTTCTCTATCGTTGTCACAATTGGGAGGTTAGTCGTTCACTGCTCGTCCCGTGGACGTCAATCATTCCTTAGGTAAGGCGACGTAAGGGACTATTACACATCCGTGCACGCAAACGCGAGTAGTCTGAAGCATCGCGAAAGAAACAAACAGCTGTGTGCTTCATGAAGAGAGAGTTCGGAGGCGGAAGAAGAGATCAGATGAAGAAGCTGATTGGGAGGTAAGTCGTACACTGCTCGTCCGGTGGACGTCAATCATTCCTTAGGGAAGGCGACGTAAGGGACTACACATCCGTGCACGCAAACGCGAGTAAGCACCGCGAAAGAAACAGCTGTGTGCTTCATGAAGAGAGTTCGGAGGCGAAAGAAGAAGAGATGAAGAAGCTGCCCGCGACCGATTTTATTCACGGGTGTCTGGCGCAAGGGTCACTACGTCACTACTTAATGTCACAGCGGTATAGAGGGCAAAGGGCGTGGATCGGGCGATGCTCTGCGGCCAGGAGCGGATGTATGCTTACGTAACGCTACAATGGTATATGACAAAAGTCATAGTCTATACCATTGTAAGGGCCGTTTTAAACTGACCGACTTTTTGTCAAAATTTTTGAAAGTGTCAAAAAAATGGAACCTGTATGTAGGCGTTTGTCCATTTTTTTCAAAAATATTTGGAACGAAGTTGGGCGCGAAAACTTTGCTCCACTTCGTTCCAACTTTTTGACAACCCTCTCAAAGTATTTGGAGCACTTTCCAAAGTACCCTTGCAGAGGCACGCGAGGGCTGCTGCGTCTGCACCACGAGTGCCCCTCACCGTAGAAAGTCAGCTAGGGTTGTGTGTGAGTCATGGCCGACCGTAGAAAGCGCGGCGTGCCTACAGATTCGAGCGGCTCTCCTCGCCCACGGGCACGCGCAAAAAAAAAAAAACAACGGCGGTCGGCCATGATGGCTTGCAGTTGTTGCTTCGCGTCCGCCGCTTTGTTTTTTCCTTTTCCCGGGGGGGTAGGAGCAGTGGTTGCCACCCCTCGCCGGCGGAGTGTTGGTGGCGGCAGCGCCTCCCGTGGTAACATGAGTGTTCCCCGAGATGCCAGGCAGCAGCACTATCTTGCTGGAGAGTACGCCTCCACCGCCTACGGCGGCACCGAGAGAGCCCGTCTGCTGGAATTTCGCCGGGGTTTTGGTCTGCCGGCCACGCTGGGTGATCGTGATATCCATGTCGTCGGTGTCCATGATGTCGTGTTTTCCGCGGTTTGTGTTGTGTCGTGTGTGTTGCCTCGAAGTGAGCGCTACAACTCACGGACGGCGTCATTTTTTTGACACAAGTTGCACAAGTCCACGTCACACGTTTAAAATGACTGCACACAGGTTCCAAGTTTTTGAAAGACAAATGTCGAAAATTTTGACAAAAAAGTCGGTCCGTTTAAAACGGCCCTACCGCTAGGAAAAGGGGGCGCAACCTGTGAGCAGGCACTGGCAGGTACTCTCTCGAACTCCGGCTGTGCGGGGGTTCCGCGATGTGTTGGCCAATCAGCGCGCTGTCTTGGATTCTCGCCCAAACTGGTTTCAGGCAACATATACTGCTGTACCCTAATACTGCTGTGGCCTGAACAACGCGTCAACACTCCCTCACTTAAAATTGACCTTGCAGCGAGTGTGGCGATGAGCTCTGGTCTGGCCAGAGAATCATTACAGTAGTCTTCACGCGTACCCCCAGCCTGGGGAGCTATCCGTCGGGCGCATCGCAAACCAAGCGATCAACCAACAGACAGAAATGAAAGGTGTGGGGGCAAGAAGGCGCAAACAAACGTTATCTGGAAGTACAACCGAGCACTACGCCCCCAAAGAAAGGTACGTGCATGATATATGAAATCAGGCTTCACGTGGCAACCATGGGTAGATAATGTGAGATATACTCACAGGATGGCGGTCGTTTCATTCATGGCAATTCCTTACTAAGAGTGTGGGAAACAATATAGACTATGTATGGTCCGTTCGGGCAAATATTCACAATCTTGTTTTTCGCGATATCTTTCGAAAAAAAACGATTTGGAAAGTGAAACAACTTTGGGCGTGACCGCGGCATCGAGCTTCGTCGATATCCGATGAGTTTTTGGTGATTGGGTGAAATGCGACATTTTTGACCAAAATAACCCATGGAGCCCCCACCCCCCCCACCCCCTCATGACCCCACGGAGCCCCCAAAGTACACCACGACCCCCCCTCAACCCCTCCCTTCTACACGTATATGCCTTCAGAACAAACATCAGTTAAACCGTTGTCAATCCATATTTACATTATTTACACGTTACATATGTACATACATACATACAATACCGCCGTTTACTTTCTACTCAACCCCTGGCTGGTGAAGGTGCTGCAAACAAAGCATGCAGCAATCACATCCGTTCTCTCTAAGCAAGTCCGATACCAAGAGAGACAGCTATAGCGTTGAGTTGGTGACCATGAAGCAAGCCTCTACCGCGCCTAAACGCGAAAAACCAACACAACACACTGCGACATATAGATACGTACCCTCCCCACTCACGCCTGAACGTGCCCGCCCAACCATTAAATGATTCCCTCAAAAAATTCATCGTGTTGCGCAAAATCCACAGCCGTAGCTGCTCCTTCCGGGAGGCTCTCTTGCTCGTCCACGTGTTGAAGGCTTCCCTGGTCGCTGCCATCGACTTCTTGCGCACTTCCTGCGCAGCCGCAAGCGCCTTCGCCTCGGCTGCCTTCTTCTGCTCCGGCGTCTTCCCCGCCCCCCTCGCCTGAATCACGGCATCTCCCCTGGCGGTGGCTTCTCGGTGCTTCCCCCACTCCTTGAGATCGCGGTACTCGAGGTAGTCCTCCAGGCCCTCGTCGTAGGCTTCGATGTACAGCCACGTCACCCTGCTCCATGCGCGGATAAACCGTGCGGGTACGCCGCTCAACGCGCCGGGCAAGACCTGGAGCATGTGGCGAAGGGAATACTCGCAGTGGAGGCGGAGGAGGTGCTTGATGTACCCCCAGTATCGCTCGATTGCGTTGAGCTCTGGGTGGTACTTCGGCAAGAAGATGCACAGGTGCCCGTGTGCCTTGAAGAGCTTCTCAACCATGTTGAGCTCCTCCCTGAACGCCTTGAGCTCAGACAGAACGCGCACGACGCAGCAGCGACGCCTCTTGCCTGCTTCACCAGCTGCCCCGCTCCCACCCGAGTCCCCGTCCTCTCCGCCGTCCTCCTCTCCCTGCCCCGTGTTGTCCACCACCTGCTGCCGCCCCTCTCCACCGCGGTTGAAGGCGGTAATGGCTTGCCTTGTTGCCGCCTTTTCCGCCCTGCACGCGCTGCACTCGTGATCGCGTAGGGTTGGCTCGCCTTCCCACAGCCCCATCTCCATGAGAAGCTGCTTTCCTCCTTTCGGCAGGCCGATGAGAACGGCGGTGGGGCCAGTCGTCGTCGTGGTCGTTGGTGTGCATGGGAGAAATATTGGCGCCTTCATGGTCGGAAGAAGGAGGAGAGTCGTTGCCTACAGCAGGGTCTGCAGGGGGCGAAGGGGCCTTCCGAATCGTGCCGTCGGCGTTCCTTGGCAGCCTGCGCTTACCCTTTGGGCGACCCATGTGCCCGGATCGCGTGTGCGTCTTTCGTTGCGTGCGTGAAGGGTGTTTGTGTGTGTGTCCTCTGGTGTGTGTGTGGCGGGAAAAAATTCCCCGCGGGCGTGTGAAACCACCCGAAATATCTCCGAAACCCGAGTTTTTTTTTGAAATCGGAAGAAAATCATCGGTGGGAAATCACGAGAGGAATCGATTGCAGCACTTTATTTTTTGAATCGTACGGTTGGATTGTCCCCAAGAAACTAAGCAAAATACCCTCCAATATCCGGTTTTTTGCCCATAACTCCGTTATTTTTTGTCAAATTGGAAATCGGAAAAAAATCATCGGTGGCAAATCACGAGAGCTGTCTAAATCCGGTCTCAGATTTTGTGTCTGCAAAAAACACCGCCCTCCAGAAAGTAATCAAGATTTCTTGAATATCTGAACATATCGAGCGAAGGACGAAAAAAAAAAATCTCCGTACGAAGATGCGCCTTGAAACGTCGATTTACGCGGTATTTTCAGATTTCGGAATAAGTACCCCCACCCCGAGAAAAGTGCACCTTTGTGCAGGGGAAAATATTGTGAATATTTGCCCGAACGGACCATAGCAATTCTTGCCGGGGTCGACGCGGGCTGTCGCGCTGGAGGGGGTTTTGTGGAGTCGAGAACCGAAGAGGGGAGCGATGTGGCTCGGTCATGCACGCCTGGGAGCCGGATAGCACTGGACTTGGCTGCATTCTTGCGGGGGCAGCGTGTCACAGGTGTTAAGATAGCGTGACTGAAAAGCAAAGGGCGTTTCTTTAAGCATGCCTGTTTCGGTAAGCATCGCTGAAGCTTCACTAGAGTCGAGACTCCTGCCCTTGAAGCTGAAACTACTCGTTTATTTGAAAGCATCAGACAAGCAGTAGTTCAAGTCATGCGCGGTGCTCCTCTGCGTACGTTTGAAACATTATGCTCCTGGTGATTGTCATTTTAGATACAGTTGTTGTTGTTGTTGTTGTTTCTCACATTTTTACATGGGTCCCACGTTTGTCAGGAATTTTGACACGAGCACGAAATCTTGACACGAGACCAGTATTTTGACACAGACGTCAGAATTTTGACACGAGAGGTTACGCCGCACTTTTTCATGTAGGTCAGAATTTTAGGAAAACGTGGTAAAAATATTTCACCTGAGGTATTTGTACACGAGAAAACCGCAAACTGACACGAGCGCCATCGCACACACACGAAGGCATCAACTCAGTCGGCAAGCTCACACGTAGCTTCCCGCACACCCACACACATGAACGCAACGCTCCCGGGAGTACATCGCGTTAGGGGAACGTCAAGCCGCGATTAGGATCGTGTGCGTTCATCACGGGATCGAGAACAAAAAAGCACGCCGAGGTTGGTCTTTCTGGACTCTGGACTCGAAGCACACGGGTGATAACCACAACAGCAGCAAGTCGGGTGCTCCGCTTGTGAAGGGAGAGGTTACAGTTGCTGGTGGAAGAGACGGTAGCTCTGGGCGCACGTACTAGGTNACCGCTCGTAGCGGATTCTGCCTCGCGCAAGGCGCGCCATCCCCTCGCTCCGTGTCGGATGCGGCGATGAGGGAGCGCGACCGTTGGGTTTCCCGGCGGTGCAGCGATGCAGCTGGGGTTGAATTTTTTGGAACTTGAGGCTGCGCCGCTGCTGGCCTTCGCCAGGCAACGTGCGGCGGAATATTTTTTCGTGTCAATTTGCCAACCGTCACTTTTTTTGGTGTCAATCTATCTCAGTCCAAAATTCTCTTGTCAATTTAACGTGGGAACCCAGAATTAGCTTTATAGTCCACAAAAAATGGGGAGCCCGTGGTCTCAAAACCCGGCACATACGACGCCGCGGGGGAACGAAAAAAAATAGGGTACAAACCAATCGAAAAAAAAAATTCTATTGACTTGCGGACCCCGCGGGGCAATTTTGGNGCAACGTGCGGCGGAATATTTTTTCGTGTCAATTTGCCAACCGTCACTTTTTTTGGTGTCAATCTATCTCAGTCCAAAATTCTCTTGTCAATTTAACGTGGGAACCCAGAATTAGCTTTATAGTCCACAAAAAATGGGGAGCCCGTGGTCTCAAAACCCGGCACATACGACGCCGCGGGGGAACGAAAAAAAATAGGGTACAAACCAATCGAAAAAAAAAATTCTATTGACTTGCGGACCCCGCGGGGCAATTTTGGTTGAGTGTACCTTTTTAGGGTAAGTTAACCTGCGACCACGGGAATCGACCGCGTCGAGTGTTGGATCAGTACGGACATACGGAGGTCCTGGGTAGAGAGAGATCGGAACGGTTGTTACTGCGAAGACAATAACAACGACAACAACAACAACAACAACAACAACAACAACAACAACAACAACAACAACAACAACAACAACAACAACAACAACAACAACAACAACAACAACAACAACAACATACAAATTATGTAGATGCATGAAATGATGCACTCTGTCTTTACTTGGTCCGCGCTGCCTACAAATAAATGGGAAAGGTAGCTATACCTTCTGCCGACACACGGGCGAGAGAGGCGACCATACCCACTGCATTTAACACACACCCACATGTCAGTGATGAAACCCCAACCACACGCCTCTATCGGCGACCACGTCAGGAGGCAATGATGAGATAATGTTCTCCCGTGCCCTTCTCACATTTAACGACATGCCATTACAAAAGGGTTTTGAGACCACGGGCTCCCAATTTTTTGTGGACTGTAGAGCTTATTTGAGAAACAACAACAAGCAAGGTAAACATGTTCTCCCGCGCCGCACATGCCCCCATACATTACACACAAAAAATACCTTGATGACGAAAACATACACACCCCGAGACGCGCTTGCTCCGCAAGCACATAAGGGTGCCATAATAAAACACCCGACAAACCGAGTTCCCCTAAATCTTCCGTCAACAACTTCCCAACATAACGTACAGACAGATAGATACACAAGATGGCTACCAAACTGCCTTGTTGAGCCTGTTACCCACAGGGCATATATCGTTGTATGCTGTCTGGGAAACCGTAGACATACAGCTAGCCTTTCGCTCACCNCACCCGACAAACCGAGTTCCCCTAAATCTTCCGTCAACAACTTCCCAACATAACGTACAGACAGATAGATACACAAGATGGCTACCAAACTGCCTTGTTGAGCCTGTTACCCACAGGGCATATATCGTTGTATGCTGTCTGGGAAACCGTAGACATACAGCTAGCCTTTCGCTCACCCTATGGATTCATTGCTAATCTATCTTAGACTTATTTCTATAGATGGAGATGGATTTGTTGTGTGATATTAAGAAACAAAAAAAAATGATAAAATGCAAAGAGCAGGTACCGCACCGATCGTTCGAGAAAACACTCCTCGGAAACCGATCACAATATATCAAAAACAAATATATAAAGGAGGACGCTTCCCACACCCGCCTAGAAAAAAAATCAAAGGGTAACGTACCAGCACCAGGCACTACGAACCAGGGCATGGGAGTAACGGAGCAAACAGGACAAGGAGGCCGCAGATAGGCAGACAGCCAGATGTACAACAACAAAGCAACAGCAAAAGCGAGATCAAGGTACCCAACACAGCAGGGCAGGGAGGGGGGGGGGGGGGGGGG